GTCGGGGGTGCTTCTGTGGTGGAAGTAAAGATCGCGGCCTGCAGACGAACAGACCGCAGACAGATTTGACTGGTGTGCACTCATTCGCTGGTTCCCTCGCTTGCGCTGCTAGCAGCAGGCCTCGGAGTATAAAAATAGCTTCCGACGCCAGCCATGACGTGTGCCTTTGGCCGGCCTTAGCCTAAAGTAGTGTGTGCGTCTCATTGTCTCTTTTGTGTGCGGATGCGTCTGTGTGGGAAGCTCCAAAGATCGGTAGATTGAGGTGATGCAGACGGACCGCAGATTGACTTGCGTCGTCACTCGCTTGTGCTGCCGACAGCAGGCAACGGGCTGTAAGAGTCACACCCAACGCCTCCTCTTAATGNATCTACCCGGCTCTACCCCTCTAAAACTGCGATGATTTTTTTTTATTTTTCCGGTCCAACACAATTTTTGCCCTACACACGTCTGGGTGCTCTGCTGCGGTAGCAACTATGTACGTGCTGTTGGTAACACAGGCAGTTCCTGACGGCGGCAGTTCGTGAAGTGTGATACTATAACAGCGGTTCAGTATTACAAAACGTTGAGGTATCCACAACAGTGCAGCAGTACTCCGTGTACAGCAGTGCTCCTTCTTGGCATATGCCCATAGGTTACGCGCCCTGTTGTAGCTTCTGTGTGTATTCCGCGAGACGGGGGCTGCTGTGGTTTCTACTGCTGTACTGGAAATGGTGAGGGGTATTTTTTTTGTCAGGCATAGCGTGCGGGACGTAGGCGTATTGCATGCTGCAGTACCAAGCGAATCGAAAGGACGCATTAGCGTTTCCCGCTCTATGTCTACCAGCTACTGTTGGTCCTCGGTACGTGTACAGCGGGTCTTTCTGTCCGTGTATTAATCTGCCTCGAGCCCGGGCAGAGCAGGGTATTGGGACGTGCCGTGTACTGCTGTAGCGTCCATCCTGCCACGTTCCATGTTGGTACACTCCATGGTACCAAACGTTGAAACCATACATAGAGCAATCCGGCATGAGAAGGCTCAAAGCAGTCAAGAACGGCTGCCCCCTCCTGCGCTAGGGCTAGTTGGCGTGCAGAAACCAGCTCGGTGCTGGTGGTGCAGGGCTGTAAACACAGCGGGGCTTCTCGTTGGGGAGGAAACGTATCTCGAAAAACAGAGCAACCTTCCCGCCGTGTATAAGCATATAACACACCTCTTGCTGCCTTCCACCGTCCCCGGCACCCCGTCAATCTCCTGTGTTGGTTGTCCTAACCGTAGCTTTCGCGTATCCTCGTGTCGGTACCGGGTGGGCTCTATTCTTACTATTGCTCTCCGCCTCGGAGAGGGAAGGAGGGGGAGGGGGGTGGAAAAGCATATTTTCTAGAAACACAGAAAACCAAATTTTTTTTACTGAAAGAGCTTTAACAGTCCCGCGCAGTGTCCCACCGCGGTTTTTTGTTTTTGTTCTGCATGTGACTTGGTGTATGACCGAGGGCTCTCGGAGACATGAGTGGCAGAGGCACCTAGGTCCCGCTCGAGCAGCATGAGCTTCGACATGAACGTGTGTGTGTGAATGAGAGAATGGAAGGGAGAGAGAGTTCCTACCACTGTAACTGCAGGCTCAGTATCGTCTACAAGTCCTATCGGGTATCCGAAACACACAACAAAGTCTACAAAAGTCAACCACTCGGACAGCACCGCCGCGGAGGCGGGCAACTCTCCTGGATTCAAAGGTTAGTAATAGCAGGCAACCAACGACTGTCCGCTGCGGAATCCTTTTTAAGCGCATATTTGACATTTGACTGCCACATCTGATCATTTCATTGTTCAGCATGATACATGGCGCTGGTGGTGCTGGGACAATACGGTCGTCGTACGTAAATATACTAGTCTACACGGTCAGCCGGCCGGTCGACACTGTTGTGCGCAAAACACCTTGTTCGAATCTCGGAGTACGAGAGCGAAGAGACAAAGGCGTTCGACGGACAATCCTGAGCCTGGCATAGTTCTCGGGCATACCTACGCGACATAGGACCTCTACGTGTAGACTCGTACAGTAGACTACAGTACATTGTAGTACTGTAGTTTGCTTTCCATTAGTAGCGGTGCGCAGTAGTCTTTGTTCGCGCGGGCTGGCCTGCGTTGAAACACTGGTCGGGTACAGTGTAAAGCAGATTTTCGTAGTTTACCTGCAGATATTGTATAGGAACGACAGGTATCGCGGAAAATACGTATGCCTCGTGAGATTAACGCTATGCTTGCATTTGATTTCTCCACCGCCGTTACAAGGCGCCGAAATAAAAAAAAATCGCGAGGGAACATGTCGGCGGTCGTCATCGAAAGCACAACGATTCGAAGGTTCGCGACCTTCGCGATTGGCGTCTTCGTCTGGTGCACGGCGCTGTGTGAGATTCCTCCCGCCTTTGCACACAAAATACGCATGCCTCTTGAGATTAACGCTATGCTTGCATTTGATTTCTCCACCGCCGTTTCAAGGCGCCGAAATCGAAAAAACTCGCGAGGGAAAATGTCGGCGGTCGTCATCGAAAACACAACGATTCGAAGGTTCGCGACCTTCGCGATTGGCGTCTTCGTCTGGTGCACGGCGCTGTGTGAGATTCCTCCCGCCTTTGCACACAGATCCGAAAGCCTCGACTGTGCAGCGGATGGATCTTCCACCGATTTCAGATTTTCGATCGTGTGAGTTGTGCGATCTGTTGTTACTGCTGCTGTCAATGTTCTCGAGGTGCAAGATAGTCTTGATATCATCTGTCTACCCAAACCGTAGGTACGATGTAAATGGAGGTGGAAGAAACGTACACCAAGACCGGACATGTTGCTTCTGTTCACTACAGGCACATCAGGTCTCATGCTAGGTTGGGTGGCATTGTGAGCCCCGATTGGTGGGTATAGATCAACTGTCTGTTGGAAGTGATGGGAGGATATGATTGACGGATGACACGATTATCCATCTGCTCTCTTTGTCGTGCGATCTTTTGTTGGTCACCTCGCAGAACTTTATTCCCGATAACCCGGGCCTTGATAACAGATACGGGGTGTCCCAACCATGTCCATTACTCCATCGACGGGGGTGTCGCGCCGAAGGTGATCCTCTACACGGCCGCGTATTGGCGAATGTGATGTTTGAATGTGCACCCATGCTACAAGATTATCCGAGACCTGCAGGTAGACTGAGAGGGCGAAAGCTTGGCCTCGAGCATGCACCCAGCTCGAGTCCCCTCTTCGCCCCCGGGGAATTCATCACCAACGTACCCCCATAATCAAAACTATTTGTACCTTTAACAGCGGATGAAAAACAGTTCAACCAGACAGATTTCGACAACGGTTTGTGTTTTGACCTGCATCGAAGACACCGACCGACAGTTTTCCTTCGGCACCCCTGTTGACTCAGTTTTCGCGCAATCATGCAACGTGTTTGCTACGAAGCTACCACGACATCGCGGTTCTCGATCTTCCGTTGGTGCGAAATTTTCGCGGACAACCGTGTAGGGCAATGCCCCCGTACCACGCCTCATGCCTAGCAGCGTTGACTCCTTTTACCGTACGAAGACATCGCACGATATTTCTCCAGTTGAAGAATCCCCTCGAGTATTTCGATCAGCGACTTTTCCCTCGCCCCCCTGACGCCGTCGAAGTCTTCAGTCAGTCGAATTTAACGCGGAGTATGTTTGATGATGCCTCAAACGCACGCATCACCTTCGTCGCATGCCTCCCTCAATTTCGATGCGTACCAGCAAAAAGCTTTGAGCGTTGACGTAAACGGTTCCCCATGGTTCCGTGGGGGTCCCGACCGCGCGACCAACCTCAGCGATGTTTCAGGGCCCGTCGGCATGATGATGAACGGGGTCGCAGTCTACAGGTGAAAAGTTGTCGTAATTGCGTTGCTGCTCACGACGGCGAAGAGGTGTCGTAGCACACAATGAACGATCCTAGCCTCACCCCAAGGAATACGACCTCACACGGCCCCCCACCACCGTAGCGTAACCCACGACCACACACGCCCCCCCACCACGCTCTATTAGCCCGTCTCCCGACCTCACCTCCACCCCCCACGCCGCTGCTTCACCCTCAAGTTCTTACGCCGATGATCGGGCAGCCACAACGTACGGGTCCGCTGCGGCCAAGCTGCATGGCGACACCACTGACCTGTGCGGGGGCAGCACAACCGCAGACGGAGTGTACCACTACCACAATGCCCCAGGGTGTCTGCAGGAGCAGGTGCGGTCATCGAAACCAAGCCTATTCTTACCTTCGATTCCCCTCTTTCTACCCTCGGAATGTTTCTCGTAACTCCCCACCTTGTCCTTGGCCTTATGTGATCTCCGAACAATCAGAGGAAGAAGGGGACCCAAAGGCTAGCAAGGATGAAGGAGCGGTTCCCTTTTCTGAACTCCTTGAAATGCTTTTCAAGCAACACGTACGGGTTAGAGTTAGGAGCAACGGTCGGCTGACCCGCACCCCCTCCCGATCCGCCCTCCGGCTTACTCAGTCTCCTGTCCGCGTGCGGCAACCCATCAATTCCCCCTTCGGAACCTTTCACTCCCAACGCATTGTCAGGCCATGAAAGCCCAGAACTTGACGGTGGACGACCACTCTCCGATCCTGGGCTGGGCCTTTGTGAGTGCCTCGACAAGTCTTGCGGGTCTATTCAATTGACTCTCATCCTCCTGCGTCCAACGCTTCTGTCGTCCCTGCGCGGAGCATTGTTTCAGAAAGGGCGGATTTGGCATAGAGAGTAGGTGGTGCTCAACACAGACACACGAACGAAGAAAGAAAACATGAAAACTTGCAAATATCAGCAGCAGCAACAACAACAACAACGACATCGACACCGACGTTGATATGGTAGGACGACACTGACACGACAACGATGACGACGATGACGGCGACGGCAGAAATAGCTTCGACAGCAGCAAGCAACAGCAAAAGCAATAGCGGCAGCAACAACAACAAATATACTCGAAGAAACAGGACATTATAGGCTGCGTCTTCTGTTACTATATGGGTTCTTGTTCCTGAGCGGCAGCAGCGAATAACACCCTGGTTAACCGTCTCGAGCGAGCGAACCCAACACCACGACCAAATCATCGCAAGCTGGGGTCCTCTAGCTGACTGACCGTCAACCGAGACTGCGCGTTCCTCGGGAACAACAAGAGACGGAAGATTCCGGATCGGAACCGCCACATAGCATCTGATGTTATCTATTCCAAGAAGTTCGTGCCCAACGTTTGCAATTGTTCTCCGTCCGGAGAGGTTACTCACTCCGGCCGGCGTGGTTTCGAGGTTCTCGACTATGCTACGACCCAACAGAAACGTGCGGGGACGGTGCTCGATACAGGAGAAGTACCCCCACACGCGAACATTGTTTCCTCTTGTGCCTCGGTGCGTAACCGCCTACGCAGGATGGTTTTCCCATTTACGGGCAGCTGGGGCCCAGTGGAGTGGAGATGCTGGTGAGATCCATTGATGATTTTGTTGAATTTATTTATGTTGTCGTTATTGTTGGGCGGAGCTTTCGTTTTTTCGTGTGTGATGCCGTCATGTTGCTTTTCAAATTCCTTGCTGTGCCCCAACGATAACCCGGTAATTCTCCACCTCCACCTCCGGGACTCAGAGTATAAATGGCGCAACATATAGTCACGAAAAGGACCGTTGACGTTCCGTTAGATCGTACGGGAGACGCGACCACAGCAGGGTGAGGCGTGTTTTCGTCTCTCGTTCGCCGGTTTACGCTCCTTACACCACTGCGATGAAACAGGACAGGGAATAATACGTCCGTGTACCGAGAGGCTTGACGCCAAGCCGTCCTCGAGAGATACGTGAAATAATTACCGTGTTGAGGTTGTATCACTGATTATGAACCGGCGGCTGCACCCCGTGGCCAATCGAAACATCATTGCAAAACAACTAAGTCGTAGGCACTCACTCGCTTTTCCCTTGTATTTCCTGACGATAACCTCACCGCACAGAGATGCAACACTACCGGAGCGAATGAAACGTACTGCCTGGATGAGTGCGGGGGGTATGAAGGGGAGCTATCCGGTATCGACCACTTCCTGTACCGCTATTACATGGTAAAATCAAAAATCACGAGTCGATGATAACACCGTCCGGCCTCTGAGAACTGTGCTGTTGTAGCGGCAAAAACTTATATATATTGTTCCGCGGGAACATAGATCGGGAGAGTGGGCTGATTCTAGGAGACGGCTGCAATGCATGTAGACACTGAAAGAAGAGAGTGACGCGGCAGATAGATGTGAATTGGAACAAAGATCTTAACAAACGACTGTAGGCGCTGCCATAGCAAGGCCTCCTGGGACCTTCCACCAGAAATTGGCTCACTGTAGAGGGTGGGCTACAGTTGCCTTTCGCTGGGAACAAGTATTGGGCTGGGTATAGAGTAGCAGGTATCGGAGAGGCTTCTGAAATCAATCATCGCCTCGGAAAGGGATAAGCTTCCACAGACACGTTGAGGTGTGATTCCGATCAAAACAACAGCGTGTGCAAGAAAACATGACACAAAGAGACAGACAAACGTTTTTAGTTCCTGCGTCGCAAACCTTGTCGTTATTGCTCCACATCAAGTGCACCGAGTTGCTTCTCGTTCCATCCCTGCCTGGACGTCGAGTTGGTTCTCACCGCTCGCTTGTCGTTCTTGTCGTCCCGCAACGTGGGTGTCCAGACGTGTGGATCCGGCCCAGAGTATTTTCCGTTCACCATCAACTGCTACCGTGGGTGTTGCGAAGAAACGACGCGGTAAGTGCCGACCTTGCGTGGCAGAGAAAGTTGTTGATCCTCGTGTGTGTTCTTGCATTCATTGTTTTTCCGCGTCGGCGTTGTCGTCAAGTCAATCTATTGGCAGTGGTGGGGGTGCTTTCTGGTAGAAAGCATGTAGGCCACATGAGGTAGCGAAGTTCAGCTTGGGCGAACGTGAATTTTGTGTGGTACTTTAAGTACGTGTTGGCAGTTGACATGCTGTGTTATGTGCAGAAAAAACGTGTTGATACGGGGCACTTACACGGAAAGGTCAACAACAGCACATCAGGATATTTTTTTCGATATATCGCTTACGCTCTTCTCGACAAGCAACGAAGCCAGCGCGGGCAATTGGGTTTGCTCTCATTTGTTAAATAAATGTTGTGTCGAACCCTTGAAGATTGGCCCATGTACTCAATGTAGTTTGTTTAGAAGAGCCACGCATTATTGGTGTTCGGCAACGAGCATATTGAAGGTGCTGAGCGTACACGGAACATTGAAGAGAACGATTCCTTTTAGAAGGCGCTGGGCGATGTAACTCCCCGCGGTAGGGAACAGGGGAGGACAGGATCTTCGTAGCCCCTGCTTGTGCAACACGTGCACACCTTTACACGAATGTCGAGGAAAACAACATAGTCAGACACAGTTTACCATAGGTGCGACTGCGGCAACTAGCCTTCCGTAGACATTATACAATAATAAGAGATGGCACTTCGCAGAGAACATGAGCACAGAGTTGTAGCGGAGATAATTTGGCAGGCGAGACTGTAGTTGTTTTCTTGTTCCGAACCTCGAAATTCCGGCACTCGGGCCCATACCCCGGAGACCCTTGGAACCTGCTGTGTTTGCTGCTTGTTTCTTGTTTTTGTTGTTGAGCTGAGACACAAGCGCGCCTTCGCCCCTTGTGCTCACTCTCTTCTAGCACCCATCAAAGACTGACCAGGGAGTCAGTTGATAAGAACATCTATCTTCATTTCTTTTTCCGAAGCTCGCTCGGGCCTACCGATCTCACAGCCGTGTAACCTCTGTGNCACTCGGGCCCATACCCCGGAGACCCTTGGAACCTGCTGTGTTTGCTGCTTGTTTCTTGTTTTTGTTGTTGAGCTGAGACACAAGCGCGCCTTCGCCCCTTGTGCTCACTCTCTTCTAGCACCCATCAAAGACTGACCAGGGAGTCAGTTGATAAGAACATCTATCTTCATTTCTTTTTCCGAAGCTCGCTCGGGCCTACCGATCTCACAGCCGTGTAACCTCTGTGATAGAATACAATGTCTACGAGCTACAGCAGCACCGTGGTGACAGCAGTGTAACCTCTGTGATAGACTACAAAGTCTACGAGCTACAGCAGCACCGCCACCTCCGCTGCTGCAGAACGCCACATATGTGAGGTTATGAGCCTCGCTTTACGCGAACACTAGGAGCTGCGGACATCACGACGGAGGTCAAGACATCCTACTACTGCTGTGGACTACAACATCCGTCTGTGGACTTCGAGCGGAAATCTTGATTCGGAGATTTGGGAGATAATCAACGGTCAGCGCAAACGAAAGTGAGCGCGCTACTTGGTCGTCTACACCAAGGGGCTGAGAGTTCACTATACACACACGTTACCACTGCTGCAACAGTAGTGAGTACCTCTGTGGTGAACAAACAGCAAAGTGTTGCGCGGGAAGCCTCGATTTAGACATCGAGCAAATACTTCTGCGGCAGCGACAGGAGGGAAGACTGTATCAACAGCGAAAGTCGACCGGGAACCGTAGTTCTATCCACCGATTTTCTATCTAAGTGAGGAAAGGGCATCAGGAGCGGGGTCGCGAATTGGCCTACAACCGGAGTTCTGTTCACCAATTCTCAATCTAAGTGAGAAAAGGGTTTCAGAAGCGGGGTCACGAATCGGCAACCGGCGTCCTCTATATCAATAGAAGGAGCGGGGCTGGAAGAGTCTCAGAGACAGATAGCTGCGTAATACACCAACAAAAACATTCACGACGAGAACATCAGGATAAAACCAGAAATGGAAGCAACATCGGGAACTGGAGGCGAAGGTAGCATCTGGAGTGATGGATCCACAAACCTGGCCAACGTCATCAGAGGACTCCCCAAGTTCGATGGAACGAAACCAGAGGACGTCAACGACTGGATGAAGAAATTGGGTGTGGTCGTCGGCGTTTCTCGGAGGGACATCATGCCACTTCTCAAGGGAATGCGCAGGCCTGATCCCTCGGACACCACCTTCGCCGCATACGAGAGAGCAAACGAAGACCTCTACGCAATCCTATTCTGCCTCGTCGAACTGCCGGCTGCACTAACCGTACACAAGCACGAAGACGACACCGGCCTTAGCGGCGACGGGCAGGCAGCATTCGCGGAACTGAAGGCCAACTACAATCGAGTGACAGATGAAGTGATCAGGGCTAAACTGGACGACCTGGAAAGGACGGTCATGGAGCCAGGAGAGAACCCGGACGATTTTTTCAACAAGAAACACCGCCTCCGCTCTCAACTAGAGAAAATGGGGGAAACCATCTCCGATCGCCGCTTCAAGGACATCTATGTGCAAGGTTTCTCCGAGGACTTCAAGGACATCAAGATTATGGTTTTCCGCGACCCATCATTCGACGTACAACNTACAATTTTTTCAACAAGAATCACCGCCTCCGCTCTCAACTAGAGAAAATGGGGGAAACCATCTCCGATCGCCGCTTCAAGGATATCTATGTGCAAGGTTTCTCCGAGGACTTCAAGGACATCAAGATTATGGTTTTCCGCGACCCATCATTCGACGTACAACAGATGCAAGCCACCATGCGCAACATCTTCCTTGACGAGCAAATGCGCAAGAGGACCTATGGCCAAATCGCTGGTCGCGGATTCGCCATGGCTACCAAGACATCTGGCCCCATCTGCCTCGAGTGCAACGAACCGGGACATGTCAGGAGGAACTGTCCATGGCGGGAGAGCCACATGGCAAAGAAGACGAAGCCTGCGGGAGCAACCAAGTGGTGCTCCGTCCACAACACCACTACACACTCCGACGAAGAGTGTTACAGCCAAGGAGCCAAGCGACCAGAACGCACGGGCAAGGCTTTCTCCGCGTGTACACACTGCATGCACTGCTCAACCCAGTCAGGAGACACACACGCCAAGCCTACCACTACGGAAACTCCCAAAGAAACAGAGAAGACCGAAAAGGCAGAGATCGACTTCTCTTAGGACGCTGCACCATCAACTACGACAAAGAACAGCAACTACCCGTCAAGCTACAAGGTCTCATCGTGCCNATGGCGGGAGAGCCACATGGCAAAGAAGACGAAGCCTGCGGGAGCAACCAAGTGGTGCTCCGTCCATAACACCACTACACACTCCGACGAAGAGTGTTACAGCCAAGGAGCCAAGCGACCAGAACGCACGGGCAAGGCTTTCTCCGCGTGTACACACTGCATGCACTGCTCAACCCAGTCAGGAGACACACACGCCAAGCCTACCACTACGGAAACTCCCAAAGAAACAGAGAAGACCGAAAAGGCAGAGATCGACTTCTCTTAGGACGCTGCACCATCAACTACGACAAAGAACAGCAACTACCCGTCAAGCTACAAGGTCTCATCGTGCCAAGACTAGGCCGGAATATCTTCGCACCAACGGCCCTTGTCAAGAAGGGCCTCCGAGGTGTCCTGGAAGACAAGACCCCACACCTCACCACCGGCGGAGAAGTCGTCGTGCCTCTGAAACAAGAGACTCAAGACCAAGGCATGTGCACCCTCGCCATCACATTCAAGGGCGATCCAGCGTCGACAAGCAAGACACCCCCGAACAACCAAGAACCAGGGCGCAAGCCGAAGTTCGGAAAACCAGAAGCGGTACAGATCGATCACACTCCGCACGCGACATGCTCAGTGGCGATGAGCGTGAGCGCCGACCTCTGGCACCGGCGCCTCGGCCACATCAATCCAAGTGCGATGAAAATTTTGCGGCGCAACCCCGCTACAGGTGTGAAAATGACGGACCTGTATCCCCGTGCGACAACTGCCACATCACGAAGCACAAGAAGGCTCCCGTCCCGAAGAAGACCAGCCGTGTCCGACCAAACCAGGCCAACTCGTCCAGTTCGACAACATGGGACCAATCGACCCGCCTGCGAAGTACAACGGACGCACCTACTCCTATGTCGCCAAAGCGACCGACGTCTTCACCAGAATGCGGGAAGTGTACCTNCGAAAAGCGGTATCGATCACACTCCGCACGCGACATGCTCAGTGGCGATGAGCGTGAGCGCCGACCTCTGGCACCGGCGCCTCGGCCACATCAATCCACGTGCTATGGAGATTTTGCGGCGCAACCCCGCCACAGGTGTGAAATATGACGGACCTGTATCCCCGTGCGACAACTGCCAAATCACGAAGCACAAGAAGGCTCCCGTCCCGAAGAAGACCAGCCGTGTCCTGACCAAACCAGGCCAACTCGTCCAGTTCGACAACATGGGACCAATCGACCCGCCTGCGAAGTACAACGGACGTAACTACTCCTACGTCGCCAAAGCGACCGACTTCTTTACCAGAATGCGGGAAGTGTACCTACTGCGCCACAGGACCGAAACCACGCAAGCTCTGCACGCCTACAACATGCAAGTAGCATCTGAAGGCTACCGCATCGAGGTTCTACG